CATTGGAAGAATGAGTGCCCCAAGAGGAAAAGGCAAGAAACAGCTCAGGGAAGGCAACCACGGGCCATTCTCAATTTACAAAGTCAGGAGTGACGGGGCTGGGGCTCTTACTTTAAAGTGACCCTGGAGCCCAGGGTCACTTTAAAGATTGGGGGCACACCTGTCAGCTTCTTAGTAGACACCGGGGCAGCTCACTCAGTCCTTACTCAGCCTCTGGGACCAATATCGAGTAGAAAAACAATTATTCAAGGGGCCACAGGAAAAACCACAACAAGCCCTTGGATTACCAACCAACTTATTGATCTGGGGAACGGCACTGTCACCCACTCCTTTTTAGTTATTCCAGAATTTCCATACCCCTCCTAGGACAGGACTTACTCCACAAACTTCAAGCAAATATTTCTTTTTGTGAGAGTCAGGCTTGCCTCTCAATTCCTCCTTGTTTGGCATCAGGGCCACCCCATCTGACGTCACCTGTGCCCTGTCAGATGAGTATCTCTAGCAGGAGGCCTTATCCACAGAAACGGATCAACCACCAACATCAGACCTCCTCCACCTGTTCCAAGAAAAAGTACCCGGAGTCTGGGCTGAAACAAATTCTCCAGGCTTGGCAAATCGCCGTACCCTGGTTGTAGTCCAGCTATTGGCAACAGGAACCCCAGTTCAGGTATGACAATATCCCATGGGCCAGGAAGCCAGAGGGGTAATTGCTCCACATATGTCCAGGCTCCTAGAAGGAGGGATCCTTATTGCTTGTCTATCCCTCTGGAATTCTCCCTTGCTCCCAGTCTTGAAACCAGGCACAAAGGACTATCGACCTGTATAGGACTTAAGGGAGGTAAACAAGTGGAAACTGTCCATCCAACGGTCCCAAATCCATACACCCTCCTAAGTCTCTAGGGCCCAGGGTACTACCATTATACTGTTCTGGGTCTCAAGGATGCATTTTTTTTTTTTTTGCATCCCACAGGCTCCTGTTAGCCAGCCCATATTTGCTTTTGAATGGACTGACCCCAAGACCGGGGTCTCAGGACAACTCACTTGGACAAGACTGCCTCAGGGGTTCAAAATTCACCCACTCTGTTTGACGAGGCACTTAGCCAAGATCTTGCCACCTTTTGAGCTGAGTTCCCCGAGTGCACCCTACCCCAGTACGTGGATGACTTACTCTTGGCTACAAAGACTCAGGAGGCCTGTCAAGAAACCACCCAGTCATTACTGAAGACCCCACAGACTCTAGTTTACCAGGTCTCAGCTAAAGAGGCCCAACTCTGTCAACTAAAAGTTACTTATCTGGGTTATATTATAGAAAAAGGCAACAGGGCACTGGCACCTAGCCAAGTGCGAGCAGTGCTTCAAATACCCACCCCTACCACAAAATGCCAAATTCAAGAATTCCTTGGGGCAGTCAGGTACGGCAGACTATGGATCTTGAGATCTGCTGAGATAGCTAAGCCCCTGTATGCCTCCACTGGAGGAACTCAGCCCTTGACTTGGACTGAGGCAGAACAACAAGCTTTTGACGAGCTCAAAAGTGCCCTAACTACAGACCCAGGCTTGGCCTTGCCAGACATATCTAAGCCCTTCCAGTTGTTTGTACATGAAAAACAGGGAGTTGCTAAGGGGGTGTTCACCCAGACATTAGGACCACGGTCCCAGCCAGTTTCCTACCTTTCAGAAAGGCTTGATCCCATAGCCTCTGGGTGGCCAGCTTATCTGAGGGAAGTTGCAGCTACGGCCCTGTTGGTCAAGGAGGTGGACAAACTAACCTTGGAACAGGAGTTAAATTTAGTGACACCCCACGCAGTGGAGTCACTACGCCGTGGAGCGCCAGGAAAATGGATGTCAAATGCCATCATAGTTCAATTATCAGGCCTTGCTTTTGGACCAGCCACGCATAAAATTTTTAAAGACTACAGTTTTAAACCCAGCCATGCTGCTACCTGACAGCAAGCCGGAGGAGCCAGTACATGACTGCCAGCAGACAATGGACATCCTCCAGGCTGCTCGACAGGACCTTACTGATGTTCCCCTACGGAACCCAGAGGATCCTTACAGGCACTTCAGTCTGTCCAACCCCAGGTGCATCGGCTCATCAGAGACACTAGAACCCCATCAATGGATCTCTCAAACCAGCCAGCACATTCCTTCCAGCCTGGGGACTCAGTCCTTGTTAAGAGATTCACCGCCTCCGGTCTGACTCCTCATTGGAAAGGTCCCTACACAGTTATCCTGACCACCCCCACCTCACTTAAGGTGGACAGACTGACTGCCTGGATTCATCACACCCGCGTTAAGGCTGCCCCACCAGAAGAGCAATGGAGAGTCGACCACTCATCACCGGATCCGTTAAAGCTAAGACTTTTGCACTCTTCACGGTCACCGCTCTTGTCTCCCTAACCCTTGCTGTAAACCCCCAAAAATACCCCCCTTGGAGCCCACTCATTATCAATGGATCCTTACAGTGGGCTCCACGGGAAAATATGTTAGTTCCCTAATAGAGCAGGAATCCACCCTTGTCAACTTAACCCTTGAGCGTACCCCGAGAAACCCTGTTGTCTTCACCTTAGACCTCTATGCCCTCCTTGGCCAATACCTAAAATTCAGAACAAGTGGAAGTGTAGCCGGGTGTGGTAGCTCAGGAACAGAGAAAAAACTCCAGACCATGGGATTGTACTTATGTTCGGGGTCCACCCCACAGAAAAAGTGGAACTGTGGAGATTTAAATGAGTTCCTTTTCCCCCACTGGGGTTGTGAGACTATCTCTACCATATCGAGATATGTCAAAAACAAAGACTCATTCATCTCCTTCCAGCGGGTGTCTCCCCCATCCCAGTCCTCTGCCGGGTTCTGTAACCCAGTCAAAATAACTGTAACTACCCCAGATAGTAGACGGACAACAGGGCAAACTTGGGGCCTCAATGTATGTATGAGAGGGTGGGATATGGGCAACATCTTCACCATCCAGTGCATGGCCCCGCCACGACCTAACCGCCCTATAGGAAAAATTGCAGAAGTCCTAAAACCCCAGGAACCTTTCCCTAAAACCCAAAGAGTCCAGTCTCCTAATCCCACCCTTCCCTCCACTTCCCCCTCAGTAACAAATCTAGCCATAGACGACTTAAACCTCCTAGACATACTGTCTTCAACTCATCACTTACTTAACCAGTCTAACCCAAACCTGGGTGCAGACTGCTGGTTATGCTTCAACCCACAGCCTCCGTGTTACACAGGCTTAGCAGCACAGCAGCACATAACCCCCTCCAGCACCCGCTGTCCTGAAAGAAAGGTCCACATAACTCTAGGTGATCTGGAAGGAAAGGATACATGTTATCATTCCCTAACTATATCCTCACGGACTCCCCATACCAGCACTTCTGCAATGACACCTTTCTTTTGAACTGTAACGGAACAAATTTTGACTATACTGCCCCAAACTCATCTTGGTTAGCCTGCACTTTCGGTCTCACTAACTGCATTTCCACTTTTCAGTTTAACCATTTCTGGAGACCTGTACTCTGTACCCCCGTATACATCTTGCCCCGCATAAATATCTATAGTGGGCCACAAGGTTTAACCCTCATTGCCCCCTCTGAGTCAACTACACGCTGGAAGCGAATTCCTCTAGTTGTACCCTTACTAGTAGGACTTGGAATTGCCGGGTCTGCAGCCGTAGGAATCTCAGCCCTAGTGACTGGGGACCAAAATTTCCAGGCCCTATCCCACCATAGAGACTCTGACATACACCGTTTAGAAAACTCTATTTCTAAACTTGCGGACCAGGTGGACTCCCTAGCCGAGATGGTATCCAAAATAGAGGAGGGCTGGACTTACTATTTCTAAACCGAAGGGGACTCTGTGCAGCTCTCAATGAGCAATGCTCTTTTTATGCTAATAAATCTGGACTTATCTGAGACAGCCTTGCCCTAGTTAGGCAAAACCTAGAAACCAGAAAACACCTCAGAGGAGCTTCTGAGAGTTGGTATCAAAGAATGTTCTCCTGGTCCCCCTGGCTCACCTCCCTACTCACCGGACTGGCAGGACCCCTGACCCTACTCATGTTGGGACTGATGTTCGGCCCTTGACTTTTGAATCAGCTACTCAGACTAATCCAAACAAGAATAAATTCTGTAAAATTAATGGTCCTAAGGTCCCAATATGAGCTCTTGAGCCAGACTGACCAACCAGTCCTAATCAGGGAATCAATGATTTGATTCATGTACAAACAACAGGGGGGACTGAGATGGGGCAAAAACAGAAGCCTGAGCACTGCCATCTTATAGAGAAGCCACCTGGGCCCTGGGCAGAGGTGTAATTCTCGGGACTGTTATTGTACTGCAGTTCTCAGAGGTGTTAAGGGTAAACATTTCCACTGCTACCCCCCTCACCTTGCAGCAAACCACTAACTTTAGCTTCTGTACAGACAGCTTGCCTTGCACACCCCTGGGCCCCCCGAATAAGGATGTGGTTTTGCAGCTTAAATGCCTTGCTCCCCCTGAGCTTGGGGCCATGGGTTGGAGAGACTTAAGTCCTCCGCAGCCGCCAGCAATAAAGACCCTGCAATTGGCATACTTTTGTCTTGGTGTTGATTTTCTGCTTGCTCTGGTGCTACAAAATACTGCATCACAGATAGCTAAGAATTTCCTACTTCTCATATTTTCTCTAGAAATTTGCGCTACTGAGAGTTAAAATTCTAATTAATATATATAATTCTGTATAACAAGTGTACTAAAAAAGTAGGATGTATTTTTGATAAAAAACGTAATAAAAACATTAAACTATGTTCTTATTGAGAAAAAAGAATAATTGTGTCTAAGTTCAGAGACTAGTTAAGGTTTTTATTTCAAAAAATAAATTTAGAAAAGAAAGAGAAGCAAGATAGAAAAAAATGATAAATAGGAAAGAAAGATGTAAAGAAAGTTACAAGTGATATATTTTTGGTACAGAAGTTTAAAAAATAATTTTTCAAATAATAATAAAAAAGAGTAAATTTTTGTCCTAAAGTAACATGACTGTTTAAGAAAACGGAAGAAATAAAGGTCCAGGAATATAATGAAAGCTCTGAGTAAGCTGTAGAAGGTTTATGAAAAATGCATTGTGAAAAGTATTTTCTATATTCTGAATAAAATTTGATTCCCCTATATTAGAACAACAGTTGTCTTGAAGTATTGATTTGTTCTTTACAAAAACTGCAAGAGGTTTTCAACTTTATTTCTGAAACCTGTTTCTTTACATTTTCAGGCAACTTCTAAATGGCAGCTTTTTCTCTGTTTTACAGTCTTCGTTTAATTTCCCTGGTTTCAAGTGAGAAATGCTGTCTTCTTCAGCTACATTGGTAATTTCATTTCTCAATGTAGTTTTTCTGCTGAAACTTCTCAGATTCATATCCCAGAGTTTCAACTGTTGTTAGAGCTTGCTGCATGTGATTCACAGGCCATGTGCCGTGGTCTTCCGCTCTTCCTCTTTTTCTCCTTGAGACGGTACATTTAGGCCAGGTGGGGTGGCTCATGCCTGTAATCCCAGTACTTTGGGAGCCAAGGTGGGTGGATCATTTGAGCTCAGGAGTTCAAGATCAACTTGGCCAACATGGTGAAACCCCATCGCTACTGAAAAAAAAAAACAACAACAAAAATTAGCCAGGCATAGTGGTGGGTACCTGTAGTCCCAGCTACTTGGGAGACTGAGGCAGGAGAATCACTTGAACCTGGGAAGAGGAGGTTGCAGTGAGCCAAGATGGCACCACTGCACTCCAGCCTGGGTGACAGAGAGAGACGCTGTCTCAAAAAAAACAAATAAACAAAAACCAAAAACCTAACTATAGAATGACTGATCAGCAGTACTCTGGAAGAAAGATCTTGATCAAAAGGGGAAGTGTTGAAGTTGTCAGAATCAAAATGGAGTCACTTGTGTGAAATCCCTGACAAATGGAGCCAGAGAAGGCCATGAAGAAAGGGTTCTTATGAACATATGCCTGACAACAAGGACTATCGCCAAAGACTGCAAAAACCACAACCTTGCACAAAGGCTATCACACCCTTACACAAAAAAATACTCTAGTGAGCACATCAGCCCAGCAACTGCCTATCTACACTCAGAGTGGCACCACCCTTGTTACCGATCCTTGTAGCCAAGGATAATCTCAAAACAGTTGTGTAATTTTCTTCATTTTTTCCTCAAAAAGGCTTTGTCTTCCTTTACCTCCCTGAACACACACATATGGCATGCCTGCTCCCACTGCAGCGTTTACTATGGCATGCCCGTCCCACTGCGGCGTTTACTATGGCATGCTTGTTCCCACTGCAGCGTTTACTATGGCATGCCCGTCCCCGCTGCGGCGTTTACTATGGCATGCTTGTTCCCATTGCAGCGTTTACTATGGCATGCCCGTCCCCGCTGTGGCGTTTACTATGGCATGCCCGTCCCCGCTGCGGCATTTACTATGGCATGCCCGTCCCCGCTGCGGCATTTACTATGGCATGCCCGTCCCCGCTGTGGCGTTTACTATGGCATGCCCGTCCCCGCTGCGGCGTTTACTATGGCATGCCCGTCCCACTGCAGCGTTTACTATGGCATGCTTGTTCCCACTGCAGCGTTTACTATGGCATGCCCGTCCCACTGCGGCGTTTACTATGGCATGCTTGTTCCCATTGCAGCGTTTACTATGGCATGCCCGTCCCCGCTGCGGCATTTACTATGGCATGCCCGTCCCCGCTGCGGCGTTTACTATGGCATGCTTGTTCCCACTGCAGCGTTTACTATGGCATGCCCGTCCCACTGCAGCGTTTACTATGGCATGCCCGTCCCCGCTGCGGCGTTTACTATGGCATGCCCGTCCCCGCTGCGGCGTTTACTATGGCATGCTTGTTCCCACTGCAGCGTTTACTATGGCATGCCCGTCCCACTGCGGCGTTTACTATGGCATGCTTGTTCCCACTGCAGCGTTTACTATGGCATGCCCGTCCCACTGCAGCGTTTACTATGGCATGCCCGTCCCACTGCGGCGTTTACTATGGCATGCTTGTTCCCATTGCAGCGTTTACTATGGCATGCCCGTCCCCGCTGCGGCGTTTACTATGGCATGCTTGTTCCCACTGCAGCGTTTACTATGGCATGCTTGTTCCCACTGCAGCGTTTACTATGGCATGCCCGTCCCACTGCGGCGTTTACTATGGCATGCTTGTTCCCACTGCAGCGTTTACTATGGCATGCCCGTCCCACTGCAGCGTTTACTATGGCATGCCCGTCCCACTGCGGCGTTTACTATGGCATGCTTGTTCCCATTGCAGCGTTTACTATGGCATGCCCGTCCCCGCTGCGGCGTTTACTATGGCATGCTTGTTCCCACTGCAGCGTTTACTATGGCATGCCCGTCCCACTGCGGCGTTTACTATGGCATGCTTGTTCCCACTGCAGCGTTTACTATGGCATGCCCGTCCCACTGCAGCGTTTACTATGGCATGCCCGTCCCACTGCGGCGTTTACTATGGCATGCTTGTTCCCATTGCAGCGTTTACTATGGCATGCCCGTCCCCGCTGCGGCGTTTACTATGGCTTGCTTGTTCCCATTGCAGCGTTTACTATGGCATGCCCGTCCCCGCTGCGGCGTTTACTATGGCATGCCCGTCCCCGCTGCGGCGTTTACTATGACATGCCCGTTCCCGCTGCGGCGTTTACTATGGCATGCCCGTCCCCGCTGCGGCGTTTACTATGCCATGCTTGTTCCCATTGCAGCGTTTACTATGGCATGCCCGTCCCCGCTGCGGCGTTTACTATGGCTTGCTTGTTCCCATTGCAGCGTTTACTATGGCATGCCCGTCCCACTGCGGCGTTTACTATGGCATGCCCGTCCCCGCTGCGGCGTTTACTATGACATGCCCGTTCCCGCTGCGGCGTTTACTATGACATGCCCGTCCCCGCTGCGGCGTTTACTATGCCATGCTTGTTCCCATTGCAGTGCCCATTGCTGAATACATTCACCGTCCTCTAGAGAGCCGCTCTCTGTCTGTTAGTTAGGCAGACACCTCTATCTACCAAATATCTCCCACTGTTTTCTGAAGTGTCATTATCTTCCAGCCACAAGAATCTTCCTGTAAGTTCTGGAATAAGCCCTTTCCTGCCTCAGGGTCTTTACATATGCAATTATTTCCTTCGGCAGGTGTCAACCTTAGTTTACCTCTTCATAATTTCCCTAACCATCCTACCTAAAGCAGGCTCCCATATACATCCTTATTTTCTCTCTCAACCTCTTACTAATTTCCTCTGTAACACAACTTAACATTTATATTATTTGTTTCTCTTCCTTGAAAATTTGTTGCTACTGGCTCATTGTCATGCTCTCCAACTTCCTCCTTTCTTAATTCTTGGCAATGTCAATATTCACAGAAACAGGACCTTCTAGTTCCTGGATCTCCCCGCTTTCCTCTCATGATGCTTCCCTCCACTCTGCCTAAGACACTCACTCCCACGGTCACAGCCTTGATCTTATAACTGCCAATGCTGTGTGACGCAGCATTATAATTGCTCAACTACCATGCTCCTCTTTCCCTTATCGTACTAGCAAAACCAAAGCCTGATTAAATCCTCCTGTTCGTAGACTCCGCGTGTGCTTTCGTAGAGCTCAAGGGATGGGAGGGCAGCGCCTCCACCGTGATTGGCCATGCTTTCACCTTACAATCGATGAGGACTACTAATGCTACTTAGCAACCAGACTGTATTTCTTGAATCCATTCTCTGCAATAAGCCACTCTAATACATTCTCTAATCCATTCTTTCCCATTCTCCTAGGTGACAAGTTCATGCTTTCCCCTCTTTCCTCAGATTTCCAAAACCTCCCCCTCCATTCTTATTCTAAGCCAATGTCATTATTTCTTGCTGCACTGAGAAAGTTAAAGCAATCAGGAGAGAACTTCTGCATGCTTCCAGCTCAACATTCCTCATATTCCTGAAAATATGCCCTCATGTTCTTTGCTCTTTTCTGAATTTGGGTGAAGTGTCTTTGACCTCAGCCAAGGCCAATCCAACTACTTGTGCCCTAGATCTATCTTCTAAGACAATACAGCAATGCCTTTCTACTCCTGTACCATCAATTCCTTCGTCTCTACTTAATCATCCTCTTCTGCAAGCACAGTTTATTTCTGCCAGACCCTGTGGGAGGTGCACTAAGATGCACACAGGTTGATAAACAGGTTTCAGAAGTTACCCTTTCCCCATATGTACTGATATCATCATTTCTGATATGAGAAAAAGGAGTCCACTGTTCTCCTCATGGGATGATGGGAGGTGGGGTTTGGGAGCTCAGTGCAGAGCCAGAAGTTGAAACAAGGAAGAGATAGCTGGAAAGTCTTGAGCAATTGAATCTCTGACCTCTCCTGATCATTGTTTCCTCCTCAGGGTCTTCAACACAGCCCAGCTGAAGGTCCCCCATAGGGAAAGTAGGCCTGTTCCACTAAGTAGGGGACCAGTCTCATCACTGGTCAACCAGAGCATGGGCACACAGTGACCCCTGAGTGCAAACTCAAGTAATAGTGACCATGAAGAGGTGAGGCTAATGCTGGTAATGTGCCAGGGAAGTGGCACCACATCTTACCCCTGAACTCAGTTTACATGTAAAATAACATAGAATGAAACTACTCTGGGATTTCAGAAACTGGCATGATTAGTTCCAAATGAGGAATCACAGAGGAGTTAGAATGGAATGTGTGCCGAAGAGGATCCCAAAGAGGTGTTGCTGTAGACTGAAGCAGAGAAGAGAGGCACTGACATTGTTCTAGGGGATTGACTTCCGGGGACCGTGTGCCAATCAACTAGAACATTGCCAGGGGAAAGAAAGGAAGGCAGGTCAGATGAAGAGCTGGAATCCTTAAGTTCCAGCCATGTCTCAGGGCAGGGATTGGAGTCAACCACTATTTACTTTTTTGACCATCACAGCTGCTACCCAGTCTTTGATTGAATCCTTGGCTGATGGAATCCAAACATTACAATACTCTTCAAGCCTCACCTAAGTTTGAGATATAGATTTTGCTGACTGACAACGAGTCATCTTAGTTATTTATCACTCCATGTAACACAGTTTCATGATGTGTTTTCTGTGCACATCTGAGTTGCTTGATCACTCCAGCCTAGACTGCAACTGGGTGGGTGGAACCTGCAGGCAGATTCAACCAAGGGTCAATCCTTCTGAAATGATGCTAGTTCACAAGCAGATGTCTAGTTGTGGATGTTGGTCTGTAGCCCCTTCCTCAGTACTTGTAAAATAATTGAGAAAATTGACAAGGAACTATAAACTACATATCTAACAGGGTTACCTAAGAATCAACTTGGGCTCATGACTAGCATGATGCAACATGTTCACAGGAAGTATAGAAGGGGTTAGCTGTTCAATATCAGTGACATTGTTCACAAAAATAAGGAAGAAAGGAGGAAAAAATAGTGGACAGGAACAAAGATATAAGATCAACTGATCTGGAGGATAAATCGGGAATCATTAATTTGAAATTTGAAGGTTGGGCATGGTGGCTCAAGCCTGTAATCTCAGTACTTTGGGAGGCCAAGGCAGATGGATCACCTGAAGTAAGGAGTTCAAAACCAACTGGCCAACATGATGAAA